GAGAGAGAGAGAGATCATAAAACATTAAAGTGGAATTAATGTAAATTGAAATTTTATGCAATCATATTTTATTTAATGACATCTTTATCTGCAAAATAGTGGCCCAAATTTTTTGAAGTTCTGCATATATTTTCTAATAATATTATTTATACCAAATCATTACACATATTAGTAATGTATCCCTTATACATCTTTATTTAGATAAAGAATCGTTCCAATCGTCTAAAAGATTAAAGCGTCAAAATACAAATATAAACATCTGTGTCGGTTCACAACCAACAATTTTGGGCTGTAATACTCTCATAATGTTGTAACCTTTCGAATAATTAAAACCTCACTATAATGTTAGATCACATTAAGCGTATGGGTTGGATTGATGTCTAATTATATATAAAGCGAACTTGTGAGTTCTTCCTAATATAGTGTGAGCTTGTAAATTAAGATCATGACAAGGAGGAGGAGAAGTATACAATTAGTTCTGTAATATGTCCAATATAATGGACATCAAAAACCAAGCAACCTTCATGTTCGATAAATCCGACGAGGTTTACGGCATCGGTTTGACCAAAATATTGCGATAGCTCTCTTACCGTCCTCTCTTCAATCCCTTGGATAACATAGGATTAAATGCAAATCGGACTGGTAGACATCTTGTTTGGCATGTGTTTTCGCTCTCTCTTAGCCATCTCAATGGCCATCGTAGAACAACATCTCTTCTTCCCTGTTGACCTAATTTTTACTCCTTCCATGTGACCTCAAAACTTTCTATACCTGCTGTAACATGCGGCCCAGCAAGGCATTCAATACCTGCTGTCATTCATTGATGAGCTTTTAATTAAGCGATCCTGATGTTTCAGATGAAGTTGGATGAAACTTCACCAGCACAACCTGTATGGATCCGTACCATTCAATCTTGGGCTATTTAATGGAGTATCTGAGTAGAGAGAATCGATCTCCGGAATGATCCACACAAACTATTTTCGTGTCTCCCAAGTTTGACCACCGAAATCATCTAGAACTCACCTGATATATATGCATAACCAGCAAAATTTATTGTGTTGGCAATGGTAAAACAATCACTATCCACATGCTTGGAAATAAAAATGAATCAATAATTAGCTTAATCATCTCCTTGGGGAGGAAAAAGAAAGAAAGAAAGAAAAATAGTTGTCTTCTTCCACTATCTATATTCTGTTCTTCTGTGTAGTCTACCTTTTGCCTCAGCTTGCCTCCTTTTAGACTCACCTACGAGAAGCAGAGGCGCAAGCACCAAAAACCCTTATAGATTCTTCTTTGTGTTGTTCATATGTCGAGCTCGAACTCGGTGATGGGGGATATCAAAGTGCTGAGATCCCCAAAGATGGAGTCTTCTTCCTCGATGAAGCCCCCGTTGTCTTGGCACTCGAAGTACGTCTGTATGTAGTCCGGAAAACTGCACCCGGTTGGCTTGTCATCACAACCGGGTGTTGACGACGTACTACTGCTCTCTGCCGATGTCTTCTCCAACATCTCCTTGAACTTTGACGACTGCAGCAGCAGATCAAGTGCAGACGATGTGGCCACTCCTGCTTCTCTTGGTTCAGGGAACTGTGAGATCCCCCTCACGCTAATCCCGTCCTGCTGCTGCATGCTCTGCGCTGCACCGCCGTGGCTGCCTGGCTCGGCATCGAGCCCCTTGGGTTGGAGCCATTTGATGTAGCGGCTGAGGTCGAAGTTGGTGACGGCGTTGAGGCCGCGGTACTCGATCGCGGCGATGTCGTACGCGGTCGCAGCCTCCTCCTGCGTCGCTGCGAAGATGGAAGGCGACAGGTGCATGTTAGATGATTCCCGAGCTTAATGGGCAGCCATTAAGCTTGAAGGTTTCTGGTACATGTCATTTAAGGTTGGGCGATCGAAGTAATGCAGCATGAAAGCAGACAAGTATCCAACGCCAGCAGGCCGGCGAAGGATTTGTATGGGCAGGAAAATGGTTGTGGGTGTGAGCTACAGAGTGAATTCAAGAAGACAGCATCGGTGGTCGGATGTAGTGAGAAGGACAGCATACTGCTGAGCGTTGGAGGTTGGTGTTAAAGTCCTTTCTCTCCCAACTAACAGGATTGACTCATGGTTGCCACACTGTGTCTACACGAAAGGGGAAGGAGATGACAAGGTGGTAGTTCAGCTACCCAGCATCGCCATGAACTCAATCCTGCACTCCACATCCGTGCCAGGATTCCTGAGAAACCTTTTATGCGATGCATGAGGTTTACATACGGAAGGTGGTGAAATGGGTTCCGATTCAAGATCTGAAATGCCCAGTTTGCATGTTTAGATACAAAAACACAGGTGGGATAATCTTACCATATGTTCCAAGATACAAGTACTTGTTACCGGAAACCCGACCAATCCGAGCTTCCCATCTCCCATTGTGATGGTGTCTGCAACGAATGTGTTTGGATAAAGCACTTAATCATCACTGATTTATCTTAAACCAGTTGGTATTTATTAGTGCAAAAGAATATGGAAATATTAGGAGCGTCGTAAAAACTGAGGTAAGCAGACTGTTCCTATTAACATGGCAAGTTATCTGAAGCTGTTGCAGGTAAATCGCAACAGCATCGTCAAGTCAAACTTAAGAACTGTACGATGAGGTTTCTACGATAGGAGTAATGGCGATGTATAATACCTCGCAACACCTCTGTATTTTGAGACACCTCTTGAGAACCCACTGCTTTTCCTGTAGAACAACAATACGATAAATACTTGACCAATTGATCATAATCATCTGTTTTATTACTCGATTTTGAGGTACCTTCTTAAGGATCCAATATATTCCTCCCTGGACTGATTCTCCATATCCTTGAGCTCTTCTTGGTATGCCGATGTCTGTGATTAGAATCGCATGAGTAGATCAAACTCAAACATACGGAATGTTGCAGAAAATGTTTGAAGGAATCTGGATGAAGGAAAGGAAAGGAAAGGAAAGGTTACAGGAAAATTGAGAATGGTGTCATGGCCCCAATACTTGAGTGCTGCCAAGTCGTACGCATGAGCCGCAGCCTCTTCATCGTCATAGGCTCCTGGAGTGAGGGGGCGAATGATCATTGATGAGTTAGGGATCCATGAAGTATTTCCATTGTGTATTCACTAGAAATGATGATTAATTTGGCTCACCAAGATAAACTGCATCATCATTGATCCAGCCACCAAAGTGAACACAGGCAAAGGGGAAACAGAGACAGAGACAGACAGAGAGAGAGAGATTAGATGCTAAGTAATTGATGCAAAACAAGCACGAGGAAAAGAAAATACAACCTTGTTTCCCTTTCTTGTTCTGGGATTCATTCCAGCAGTTCTTGTCCCACAAATGGGCCTCGTATCGACCTGTCCATCGATGCCTATCCAAATCGATCGAACAAAGAAACCAAGAGAAGATTGAGCAGTGCCAGGAGATCGGTAAGGTCAAGAGAAGCAGGGAGCAGAGATCATGAGTTAAATTACCTTGTCACACCGCGGAAGACAGAGCTACGCTGAGAAGGAGAGTCTCTCGGCACACTTCTTCTTGTTCTCTTCATCTTCATGCTGCTGCTGCTGTCATTCTTGTCGACGTTCTTCTGATTGCCGGAGTTGTTCTTTTGGATCTTGCCCATCGAAGGACCGAGACGAATGGAGGTTGCAGGAGGGAGAGAGAGAGAGAGAGATAGAGAGAGCGAGAGATGAAAGAATTGACGACAGGTGAAGCCTTATAAAGGGCGACGGCCGTGAAGTGCTTGAGAGTTTGTTTCGAAGATGGAAGTAATGGAAAACTACAGAGAGAGCCGGCTTTTTGGAAGCTATCTCTCCCTCTCTCTCTCGAATTAAGCCGTCCATTGTCGCTAGTTATAACAATCATTAGCATCAAAGATTGCAACTGTACGTATTGTTTTATGTTGGTTTAAGAGTCTTGCTGTGTGACACATCACTCTTACCTATTTGGTCTTCGCTTGGGGATTTATTCTTAACTATGGTTATTTTTTGTGTCACAAAGTCTTAACTATGGTTTTTACAAAGCATTTGTTGCTCCAGATAATATATATATATATATATATATATATATATATATATATATATATATATATAT